AAAAATTTGTTACTCTTAAGGCAGAAGTTCCCAAACTTTGGCATGTGTTAGAAGTACTGGAGGGCTTACTAAAACACATATTTCTGGACCCCAAGCCCTGAAATTCTCATTCAGTGGGTCTAGGGTGGGTCTCAAGAATTCACATTCCTAACATGTTTCTAGGTGATGCTGAGGTTTCTGGCCCAGGGACCACGCTTTGAAAACCACTGCTTTAGGGGCGCCTGGGTGGCGCAGTCGGTTAAGCGTCCGACTTCAGCCAGGTCACGATCTCGCGGTCCGTGAGTTCGAGCCCCGCATCGGGCTCTGGGCTGATGGCTCAGAGCCTGGAGCCTGTTTCCGATTCTGTGTCTCCCTCTCTCTCTGCCCCTCCTCCGTTCATGCTCTGTTTCTCTCTGTCCCCCCAAAATAAATAAACGTTGAAAAAAAATTAAAAAAAAAAAAAACACTGCTTTATAGATACATGCTTAAAAAAAAATGTGGATGAAATAATAGCCCATCTGTGGTTTATTTACTTCATTTCTGGTGGCAGGTGATGTGGGTATGAATAAAACAAGCATTTCCATTGATAATTACAGCCTGGTGACGAGTATATGGAGTTCTATTGATACTATCCTTACCACATGTGCCTGTGTTTGAAGTGTTCTATAATTACAAGTTAACATGTAAAGAAAATATAAATGTTTATATTTATGAATATATATGTTTATATTTGTAAATATAAATAAAATACTCAAATGATTAATGCTAATACTTATTGTATTGACTTCAGGTATAAAAATCACATGTTAAATTTATTAATTTGGAAATACTTTTTTTTTCAGTTCTGCATTTCTTAAGAAATCCTGTCAAGCTTTTTATATCCATCTTTCTCATGATTGTATTTATTATCACTAGCATCTCTTTTTGAGCCATTTAACAGCTTTCTGGAGCACATCAACCAACACCTTGGTCTCAAATGTTGAAGAATCAGAACTTTTCAAATCTGCATTAGATGCTGTCTCTGCAGATTTCCTCTCAAGCCCCAGCTATGCATTGCACAATATGAAGACAATTCGTTGTGTTCACTTGTCTTGGAGGAGGCTGTTCATGGATTCCACAATATAACCACTTTATTTATTTTTAATTTTTTAATGTTTATTTATTTTAGAGACAGAGAGACAGACAGAGCACAAGCAGGGGAGAGGTGGAGAGAGAGAGGAAGACACAGAATCTGAAACAGGCTCCAGGCTCTGAGCTGTCAGCACAGGGCCCTATGCTGGTTTTAAACTCTGGAACAGTGAGAGGTCATGACCTGAGCTGAAGTCAAAGACGTTCAACCGACTGAGCCACCCAGGCTCCCCATCACAATATAACCACTTTAAAATAGTTTTTTTAATAACCAATATTTTTTAAAAGTCTTATTTACACTCCCCAGACCCCAAGAAGAATTACTAAATCTGTGTTAATGTTTTTAAGTTTATTTATTTTGAGAGAGAGTGAGAGACAGAGAGAGAGAGAGAGGGAGAGAATGAGTGGGGTAGGAGCAGAGCGAGAGGGAGAAAGAATCCCAAAATGGGATTCAGTCTCATGGTCATTAGATCATGACCTGAGCCAAACTCAAGAGTCAGAGACGTTCAACTGACGGAGCCACCCAGGCGCCCCTAAATCTGTGTTAAACTTCTGTGCTTCATTTGTAACAATTCTTCTAGGTAAATGTCACAATACTGGTGTTATGCCCCAAATCCACTGTGTGTTAGCCACAAGCACTATTTTCTGATTCAAAGTAAAACCAATGAGAGAAACCTGTAGAACTGGAGATTTTACAGATACTCTGGCAACCCTTGAAGTCAGAAACATGGTAATTCTTGATCAACATCTTCCATGTTATCTTCTTTGACACTTTGTGGATACAATGTTTGGAAAAACAACAGCCCCGGGTGATTGGTGTCAGCAAAGGGAAAAGTCTGAAGCCAGGCACACGCCACAGGGCCTGAACAGACCATCGTCACCTTTCTCACACTGTGTTTCTCTATTTGTTCTTCAAATTTGGCACTGTTCGGGGCGCCTGGGTGGCGCAGTCGGTTAAGCGTCCGACTTCAGCCAGGTCACGATCTCGCGGTCCGTGGGTTCGAGCCCCGCGTCAGGCTCTGGGCTGATGGCTCGGAGCCTGGAGCCTGTTTCCGATTCTGTGTCTCCCTCTCTCTCTGCCCCTCCCCCGTTCATGCTCTGTCTCTCTCTGTCCCACAAATAAATAAAAATGTTGAAAAAAAAATAAAAAAAAAAAAATGAAAAATTTGACACTGTTCTTAAATGCTGGGAGTCAGCGGGGTACCAGACTGTTCTGGCCCACCCAGAGCTCTCACTCTATCGAGACACACAGCAAATAACAAATCAAGGTTTAGAATTTACAAATTGTTTAAAATACATTATAATACTCATTCCTCACAGCAGTCCTGGGAGTAGAACATAATTTCCTCTTTCCGTAGGAGAGCCTATAAAATTTAGTCTGTGGACATCTAGGCTAAAAGATCTGTGATGGCAAGAAGCATACCTGCCTTGTTCACCTGTATCTGTAGTGAAGATAAAGGCATTCAATAAACTGTGGTGTTTAAATGAGGAAAGGGACACCTTGACTCCTTTGGAATGGTGAAGTACTGATAAATGCTCCTTCGGAACCCTACAGTATAGGGGCACCTGGGTGGCACAGTCAGTTAAGTATCTGCCTTTGGTTCAGGTCATGATCTCATGGTTCATGAGTTCAAGCCGAGCCTTGGGCTCTGTGCTGACAGCTCAGATCTTGGAGCCTGCTTCAGATCCCGTGTCTCCTGTTCTCTCTGCCCCTCCCCTGCTCACTTGCTCATTCTCTCTCTCTCTTTAAAAAATAAATAAACATTAAAAATATTTTTTTTTAAAGAATCCTGCAATATAGAAGTGTATCAATTCTCAGAGGCAGAAAAATATTTGTATGTGGCTGAAAATAGAAATGTTTTGTATTACAAATAATTTCCAAAGAAACATACTGTTCTAAGAAAATGTTCTAGGGACGCCTGGGTGGCTCAGTTGTGTAAGCATCCAACTTCAGCTCAGGTCATGATCTTGTGGTCTGTGAATTTGAGCCCCTCATCGAGCTCTGTGCTGACAACTCAGAGCCTGGAGCCTGCTTTGGATCCTGTCTCCTTCTCTCTGCCTCTCCCCCACTCACGCTCTGTCTCTCAAAAATGAATAAATGTTTTTTAAAAAATTAAAGAAAGAAAAAGAAAAAGTTCTAGGAAATACCTAACCAAACATTTTATAGGATGAAACTGCTCTGTGGACTGAATGTGGAATCTCTCTCCTCCTGAGGTAGTGGGGGGAATGTAGGTTTCAAATCTTACCTGCATAATTCACTAGGGGGTAAATTTTGAACAATTCCTTTTTTTTTTTTACCTTTATTTATTTATTTTGAGAGAGAGAGAGAGAGAGAGAGAAAATGCTCATGCATACATGCCAGAAAGGGAGGGGCAGAGAGTGGGGGAGAGAGAGAATCCCAAGCAGGCACGATGCTGTTCAGCACAGAGCCCAATACGGGGCTCGATCTCACAAACCATGAGAACATAACCTGAGCTGAAAACAAGAGTCTGATGCTTAACTGTCTGAGCAACCTAGGCTCCCCAATGTCATTATTTTTTATGCCTATTCTAGAACTCTCTACCACTCCTGCTCACTCTTCCCAGTCTAAAGAGCCTCTTGATTTTTCTTTAAAATGCTTCACGACTACAAAGCACCTACAGGTTGCTATCCATACTGACTGGTTATTCAACATGACTATCAACTGAGTACAGACATTCAGCTTTCAGTGAACCCTTCTGATAATGTCTCCTTTCAATTACCTGACATCAAAAAGGATTATTTTTGTGTGTCTCAATTTATTCCCAAGATTTTATTTTTATCTGGTATGACACGGTAACAGATATAATGACAACTGCCTTTCAGAGAATAGTTTCTTACATTTCCCACACAAAGGCGGCATGCCACATATCACAGGAACACATGAGGAAGGACCAAGCTCTGTCAGGAGGCAGAAGTGAGGGGACAGCACAGGCTACAGTCTTTATACAGGTTTCCACAGGAAAGGCAACGCAGCATAGGGGAAACAGCTTAGGACTGGCTAGCTTGAATAATTCCAGCAGGGTTTGAGCATAGGGGTGGTCCCTAGTTATCCAGTATCTGGACTGGGTTGATTGGGGGGCAGGGGAAATATTTGCTTCGTGAGAAACTCGTGAACCCTGGGAAGGGCAGTCTCTTCCAGCCAGCAAGGCTACCTGAGATGTCAAAACGTCATAAAATACAGACAATAAAAAACATGAGTAATACACCTACACCATGGCAAGAGGGAATGGTAGTTCATCACTCACCTTTGTTCCATCATTTATTCTATTGTAAACTTTATGAACGTTGCCCTTGGGATATAATATTCTGGGCTTTTGAATCTCTTCTGTTCCATTCCTGACAAAACTCACAATTGCCTTTGCTGTTCTTCCTCAATCTGTTAATTAAAACAGTCTAAAGGAGCGGCTGGCTGGCTCCATCATAGAGCATGGGACTCTTAATCTCAGGGTTGTAGGTTCAAGCCCCACGTTGGGTGTGGAGCTTACTACACACACACACACACACACACACACACACACACACACACAGCCTAAGGATACTTTTATCTCTAATAAGAACCCTATATTTGCCTGTAAATGCCTTATGATATACCTATTTTTCCTTTGTCGCAGATACCTTCTTTCTTGCACAAATGAAACGGCACTGTTTCACTGTTAATATATTTGTCAAATGTATGAATTGCATAATGCTGAGATTGATGTTGAGACAAGCATTCTTTGGGGACTCATTGATTCAGTCACTCTATGGACTGAAGTCACTTAGAACTGGGAATGTGTTTTAAGAGATTGTTTCCTCGTTCATATTCTCCTTTCTTCTTTCTCTTTTCCTCTTTCCTTCTGATCCTTACTACCATTTGTCTTTGTTTCTTTAAGATTCCCATCCAGGCAAATGTCCATTGTAGCTCAGTACCAACTGGAGACCAGTCCCTATCCTATATCCATGGCCTCCCCGGGAGAAACCTGAGACTGGTCTTTGGAACAGATGGCAAGGGACAGCTCTGACCAACCTAAAGTACGTATACTGAGACTTGCCTTGTTTTCTATTGTGGATGAAGGGTATTATTTGTTGCCTGTAGACTTTGATGTGCAGCAGATAATGAGACAGTCTGAGAGGGACGCTAGAGGCCATATAATGAAGATTCCAAGAAGCTCCTTGGTGAGCTTACAGGCAAACCTTGATTGTCTCAACTGAACTTCTCATCTTTCTTCCACCTTCTTCCTCTGGAGACAATGGGTCTCTAAAACTTGGCATTCTAAATTCTCTTATAATTTAAAAAGTTATTTTGTAGAAGACGGATGATATACCTTCAGTAGCCTTCTAACAGAGTATGCACTCTAAAATGATTTTCTTCTTTTCTTCTTCGGAAGGCAACAGTCCCGAGGTATTGCAAACTAATAAATATGCCCAGAATGAATACCAACCTCCAGGTGTTACCAGCTTGCACTGTTCTAGGCGAGGCCTGAAAGTGGGTGCTCTGACATCAGCCCCACTAGGCTTCTGCTTCTTTGCATTGGCCGTCACTTCTCATTTTAGAGCTGCGTTAATTGATTGTTGCTGTTGCTCTTGTGTCAGGATTTTGGCCAGAGGCCAAGTGGAACAACAAGAGAAGACTCTTTTCTTCTTACCCTGGTCAGAAGAGAACTCAGCTCGCGCCCTTTGAGTTCTGGCTTACTAGAAAAGCTTCAGAAAGAGCTGAAGATCCTGGATCCTATCTCTTCAGGATTTCTTCTCCAGTCTCAGCTAAGCCACCTTTTCTTAAGACAGGAAGTCCCTCTACAGTTACCAATAGTCAAGATCCTTTGCCAGAGATTTTCTAAGAGGGGCTCTCCAGAAATGGTACAGCCATGTTGCTATTCTAAGCATGGGTTCCTTTTGTTTATTTTACTTGTACGCACCAGAGTAGTAGAATTAAAATTTTAGTTTCTTTTTTTTTCTTAAAAATAACCTTTACTATTGACTCCTAAGATACAAAGCTTATTTGTATTCATATGTGGAAATTTCTAGTCAGAAGAAACCAGAATAGAAAATGGATTAAGTCTCTTAGCTCTATTTAATTTCTTTTTATTTAATACTTTTTTTTTCAACGTTTATTTATTTTTGGGACAGAGAGAGACAGAGCATGAACGGGGGAGGGGCAGAGAGAGAGGGAGACACAGAATTGGAAACAGGCTCCAGGCTCTGAGCCATCAGCCCAGAGCCCGACGCGGGGCTCGAACTCACGGACCGCGAGATCGTGACCTGGCTGAAGTCGGACGCTTAACCGACTGCGCCCCCCAGGCGCCCCTTTAATTTCTTTTTAAAAGACTGCTGTTCCTGACTTTCATTATCTGCCCTTAGCACTATTGGGTTACAGAGTCAGGAAAATGGGCTCACGAGTCAACTTACATGTTGGTCAGTCTGTAGGCTCTGAGATGAGAATGGAGAATTTGACTAGGATGTATCATTGCAGAGAGTTCCCTAAAGAGTTAGAAGTGGGAGGTATATTTGAAATACAATTCACCACCATTTGGCTAATTGGGAAGCTGAGATCCAGAGTGGGGAAAGGAAATTGCTTAGTGTACTCAGAGAATTAATGGTGGACCCAAAGCAGAGATTAAGGCTCCCCAGTGACAAGTCCAGGGTTCTTGCTCTGAACACTGCACTTCCCAAGCTCACATTTATGGGTAGATACAAAGCATAGTCCAAGTGTAACCAGGGTGCTAGAGGAATATATCCTACAATAGAAAAAAGCAATAGCAATGGGTAAATCATGAGTGAACATGTGTAGAAAACCAGGCTAAAACAAACCTCATAGGGGTAATCTGGGAATTTAGTAATATAATAAGTGCAAATTACCTGGCCGCATGCTTAGCATTTAGTAGGTATTCAAACAAATGTTAGTTCTCTCTCCTGCCCATTTCTAACCAACTAACCAACTATAATTAGTTGTATATTGATGAGAAGTATTTAGCAATACAGTGTCAACTTAGTACAGCCACTGTGAATCTTCAATCAAATTCTCTGGCCTGAGATTGATTTTATGTCAGAACCTTATATAGCTTCCCTCCCCCATGGTTATCCCCCAACTGCCCTGGAGTTGTATGTCCACCAGAGTCTGTAGGATGTCATCCAGACCAGCAATGGAAATGGACAACATTCTTTCAGTACTTTCCCATGTTTAAAAAGAAAAAAAGGACTGGGGGGGGGGTGTCTTGAGATTTTTCACTTAGCTTAATAAGACCTTGTCCTCAAATAATCCGAACATATCTGCTAGATATATCTAAATACAAGCAAATACTATATATAATAAATATATGAGATGTGAGAGAGCAGCTAGAGGTTAGGTTATGCTGTAGTAACAAACAGCCCCAAAATTTCAGTGGCTCAAAACAACAAAAGTTTACTTCTCACTTATACTTCCCTAATAGGTCAGGCACAGTTTTGCCATTATCTTAGCTCCCAAACCCACACGGATGAGGTAGCAACTCTGGAGTATTTTTGGACATGCTGGCAGAGGGGGATAAAAAGAGAGCTATGGAGTGGCTCGTGTGAGCAATTTAATCCTCAACCAGAAGGAGCACATGTCACTTCTGCTCACAACTCATCAGCCAGAATTGTTCCCATAGCCCTACCCAACCACAAGGCAATCAGGAAGGGGGGATAGTAGGAATATTTGCTTTTCAAAACCACTAATAATTATTATACTATATTTTTAAGGCTGTTTTAGAAACTTTTAATGGTAAAAAAAAAATTCCAAATACCCTCTACCTCAACAGGCATTTCCCTTATGGGCATTTATTTCCCTTATATGTACGTTAAATGACAGCGTTCTTTTTCATATTGGATTTTCAGGTGAGCTATGGAAAACTCCTCCGGTTTTTAAAAGCTGCAGCTTCAGGTGACTCCTAGCAAAGCCAAAGAGTTGTGGGCAGCAATGGGAACAAGAGTCAGAGTTATCACGATCATGGCCAAGGGTACTTTCCTTCTTTTCTTGGGCATAGTGTTCCTAGATTTCTAGAGCTGGCGGTGACATCAGAGGCCATTCACCTGAAAAGCTCACCCAAGGTAGAATCACCATGCCCTTCACCAACACTGGGCTTATGCTGATCATTTCCTCTCTCTGGTACAAAGGCCAGCACAGAAAGTTATTTGCAACAATTGCATAGTTTCTTGAGATCAAGCATGTCTCTTTTTTTATGAGGTTGCCATGTGAAAAGGAAAACCCTCATTATGAAGTAAGGAATGACTGTATACTGGCACAGAGCTCCAGTCTCTAAGGTATGATTCCAGAAACACGCTTCATGAGTGAACTCCTGGTTTACGGGCACTAGCAAAGAAAGGTTTCAGGTACAAGAATCAATAATCCCCTCATATAATCTCAAAGGAAAGAGATGACACAAAGTAAAAACAGGATGTGAGGAATATCATTAGAGATGAGGCACAATAAAGCATGAGAGTCTCTGTGTTCTCCAAGAAAGTTGACAAAGTGCAGTAGTTAGGAACATAGCCTCCATTACCTAAAGCCTGGGCTCAATTCCTGTTTCTGCCATTTAATGGCTATGTAACCTGAGGACAGTCAGCTACCCTCTCTGTGCTTCCATTCTCCAAGTGTGAAATAGGAACCATAAGAGATTTCCCTTCACTTCATAGATTTATAAGGGTAAGTCAATCAATCAAGGCAAAGTTCTCAAAAACAGTATCCGATACATAGTAAATGCTATAGAAGAGTGTTTTTACTTTTTTTTAAACTATCCTACCAGATGATACTCTTTCCATTACAAATAATGAGACACAGTGATTAAGAGCCATGATATTGGAATTTATCACTTCACTCTAGGGAACTAGAGTTTCCTGTAAAAATGTCCCTGGGCCAAATGTTAGACTTGATTCCTTTCTACGGTACGCCATTTTCATGCCCTTTTGGCATTCGTTGAATACCAGATGCTTGCCAGGCACACCTTGCTGTGCACAGTGAATTCAGAGGTTGGCAAGGCCCAGTCTTTCCCTCAAGGGCTCAAGTTGCAAAGAAAGTGACACTGCCATGTGGGTCTATGAGTCAAATATCTGGGAGCAACTGTGCTATGGAGGGCCATAAAGCCCCCAGAATTTTTTTTAAGTAGGTTTATTTTTGTGAGAGAGAGAGAGAGAGTGGGAGAAGGGGAGAGAGAGAATGAGAGAGAGAGAAAGAGAGAGAGTCCCAAGCAGACTCTGCACTGTCAGTGAAGAGCCCAAAGCAGGGCTCTAATTCACAAACCGTGAGATCATAACCTGAGCAGAAATCAAGAGTCAGACACTTAACCCACTGAGCCACGCAGGCACCTGTAGCCACAGAAATTTTTAATAATCAGCAACCACACTTCATAAAATACAGACCATGAGATTTGAGCCCAGAGAGGTGGTGGGCTATGCACTAAAAGACATGGTTACCCATTGGCAGGTATGGGTACTATGGGTCCTGGACAGGAAGGCTTTCCTGAGCCCTGGACCAGGTTGTATCTCTTTGTGGTATGGCCCCACAGTCCTTTCCTTGCCTAACAGCCGTGGTACTTGTAACTATGCACTTGACATTTGAGGTTAGTGATAATAGCGTGTGCCCTAGCCAACTCGGTGTCGAGCGTAGTTCCTGGCACGTGGGAGATGCTCAACGAGTAATTTTTTAAATGTAATTGGCACCCTAATTATCCACTTGCAGGGACATCTGGATATCTACTCTGTAAAAGAGGTGCACAGAGAGATCATTTTGAACTCATCAGAGAAGGTGCTGCTTTACACAAACCAGACAGCATGTTTGTGGAAGTGCAGAACTGATGGCCCGTAATGAATCCAGGCTCTTTGTTAATCAATGTGCTGCTCAGGAAAAGGCTCTCCCGCGCATTCTGTCAGCGAGAGCCTTTAATGGGGTAGCTCTGTGATGTTTAAAAAGCCTCCGGCATCACCTGTGGCAACAACAGTGGCAATGGCTCTCCTTACCTAAGTTGGACCAGATGAAACACACTCTTGCAGCAGGTTTCCTAAGAAACCCCACCAGCTGAAACAAATGGGTTCCATACAACTCCTGCCCATTTAGCAATTGGTGTTCGGAGTCAGGGGCCAAAGCCTCATGAATTCCTACCCCCAGGAAATGGCATTGCAAGAAAAGGAATGAGGAAGGAAAATTTGTGATTCAAATCTGGGACAGATACATCTGATTGGCAAGGCCTGGGTCATGTGCTCTATCAGCAAAGAGAGACTAGTAAACCAAATAGCTAGCATTTTCCTCGACTGGAGTGAGAGGCAGACTCCTGAGCTAGAGAACTCTCTGAACAAAGGAAGGAGGGTGAAGAAACTATGTGACCAAAACAAAGACAAACAGCCACCCCTTCCTGCACTAAGCTTTTGGAAAATATTAGCTATTAGGCCAAAGCCCAAGTAAGAGTCACAGAGCAAAAGAAGGTGCAATATGACCTTTAGTAAAAGTTAAATACATGCATATAAAAAGAATCGATTCCAAGTGCTGCACAAGATCCCCAGGAAATAGTAAGAAACAAAACAGAGTTGATCCACATCTGATGGAGCAGTCAAATAGGGAAGTTAGACAGGAGGCAATGACCAAAGAAATAAAGATATGAATGCAACACGAGGGAGATTTATTAAGGAAAAGAACAAGGAATTATAAAAGAGCTGATCAAGCACAGGGTGCTGGAGCACCACTGAGAGACAATTGGGAGCACCACTTCCCAGATACTCATTCAGTGACGTCGGGTTGGTAGCTTGAAGTCAGCCATGGTGGGAGCACTTGCACCGTAAAAATTAGTAATGCTAACAGATCAGGGCCTTATCTTGGAGAGCGGGTTGTTAAACTTTACTGGCATACCACTGAAAGAAGGCTGATTTACAGGAGTGGAGATTGAGGGATGTCACAGAATGTCCCTGTAGGGAAGTGGCACTTGACGTTGAGATGGTGGAAATTAGGAAAATCTCCACTGCCGAGAAGACAGTTCAGACGGATCCGGAAGGAACATCATGTGAATGCTAAATGAGTAAAAATCTCACTAGTTAAATCAAATAAGTAAATGACTGTAACATTTTTATCATCCTGTGGTTTTTCACCTATTATTTAAAGTAACAATAGTCAGTGAGATAAACCATCTTAATAATTATAAACATTTGCAAAATCATTATTACCAAAACTTTTCTGGGTTTTCCAGATACAAATTGCAAAGTCAAGGATAACAGAGGAAGTTCACTCGATTCAAGATTTCCTTCTAAATAGGTTCCCTGGTTACAGGGATCTGGCAGGATCTGATTTGCTTTGCTTGTGGCAATGAGCGGTTTGGAAATTTGATTTCCCATCAATAATTATCTGGGCCTAAGAGAAGTAAGATCAGGCAGCTAAAGTAAACTACTGTGGTCACTTCCAATTTTTTCTCTCAACCTGGAAAAAAGAGTTAGAGATTAGGTTACAAAGTTTGGTTTATGTTCTAGTTGAATTGGTTGGTGCCTCATGGAGAAGAGACTCTAGTGGTCAGGAGAATGGAATCGATTGGAATGAATGTAGCAAATCTTCATGCTCAGATGCCATGACCAGGTTACTGAGATTTAGAAGACCCTCCTGGGTGGGTTCTCTGGTTCCACAGTGTATGTCAGGGGTGAGAGATCCAGTATGAAAACATAGAACGGCTTTGGGTGGATCATCTTTTCATAGCATTTCCCCTGCCCCTCCAAACAGTACTGCTCGTCAAGATGCCAGCCCACAGTCAGAAGTGAGCAAGAGCCTGTCGGAGATCTTGATGGCACTAAGGACAACTAATGGGAAACTCAACATAGAGAACCTCAGTCGGAATTTTCAAAAAGAAGATGGCTCATTTTCTGGCTCCCTGCCCCTACCCAAGGTAACCAAAACTAGAGTTCAGATGTGTTGATCTCCAAAGGCTACCTCAGGGCATTGGGTCTATAAGAAAGCACAGTTATGATCTGTGTTCTGCCTGTGGATCACATTATACACTTGTTTTCTGTGCCTCAGAGGAGAAAAAAAAAGAAGACGACGACGACGAAAAGGAATTATGGAATGTGCAGAATCGGTCCAGGAATTACTTACACTGGGATACGTTTTATGATAATAATAGAAAATATGAGGGGAGCCTGGGTGGGTCAGTCAGTTAAGTGTCTGACTTCAGCTCAGGTCATGATCTCACAGTTCGTGAGTTCGAGCCCCATGTCAGGCTCTGTGCTGACAGCTCAGAGCCTGGAGCCTGCTTTGGATTCTGTGTGTGTCTCTCTCTCTCTCTCTGCCTCTCCCCCACTCGTGCTCTGTCTCTCTCTCTCAAAAATAAGTAAACGTTAAAAACTTTTTAAAAAAATAATAGAAAATATGACAACACCCAAGTAACATTTCACGATGGAAAATAAATATTTTTCCAAGGCCAAATGTTCACTTCTCACACCCTGTACCAGTTTCCAGTGACATCAGCATGTGGTATCTCATGCTTTAGGAACACCAAAGTTTAGGAACTAGTGTGATTTATTGCTGATAGAGACTAGTCTGCTATTTGGGAACATTAATTAACAGTACAGATGTGTCTTATGGAAGAAGATCCAGAACCATATTAACTCAAGTATTGTCTTCAGCCAAACAAACCCTAGGCATGAGGCTACCTCAGATACAGGGCAAATAATAATTATGAGTATTACTACAATTCCATTAACAACAATTTGTCACCACCAAGCTTTATTGAGTTCTTACTAAGTGCCAACCACTGCACTAAATGCTTTAGTTACACCATTTTAATTTAACATTTACAGATGACTACAAAATCCAGATAGATGTTATAATACCCATTTAATGAAAAATACTGAGTCTCAGAGAGGCCACCTGAATCATCCAAGGACTACAACTAGCAAGCTGTAGAGCCAGGGTTCAAAGTACAGAAGAGTAGAGGGATATTGAGGGCCAAAATCAGAACTCTATTAGGCAGAAGATATCTGGAAGCATCCATTAAGTCTGTGATACAAGACTTAGAGTTCCAGGGGAATAAAGGGATTGGAAATTAGCCAGGGGCGGGGGGGGGGGCGGGCGGGAAGGAAAAAGAAAATGCTATAGAAAAGATTGGAAAATGCCTTTCATCTAGGCAAACAGGTTAGAAATGAGAAAGAATTTAAAAGAACGTGTGATGTTTACTAAGGAAGCAAGGACACGATATAATGACAGTGGACACTTATCCCAGGACAGAAGCAGCTTTCTTTATGCTTTCATTTATACAGTCAACTAAGCATGCAAAGGCAAAGGTCATGGTAGGGTGTAAATGTGTGTGTACATATGTGAATATGACACATGCAAGCATGTGTCACTAGAAAGAGAGAGAGAGAGAGAGAGAGAGAGAGAGAGAGAACACTACCAGAGATTCCACACAACATAGATAGCTTTCACTAGGTTCATAAGATCAGTAAGAAGCAGCAATTCTCTGTCAGATTGGAAATTACATAACACCATCAATGAAGCTTGAAGGTTCTCGGATAATACTTGGAGAATAAAACATAAATAACTTGGGAATCAAAATAAGTTTTCTTAAACTCTTTGAGTCTTTAGATTTTTCCACTGGAAAAACTGGGTTTGAAATATCTATCTCCTGCATCTATTGGGAGGATTCAGCAAGATAAGTATGTGAAGGTACTTAGCACACTAATACATGAGGCACTCAGTAAATACTAGTTTCCTTTTCTTCTAATTAAACAAAAAAATTCAGTGTTTGGTTAAATTATTACTCAAAACAGCCCAAGGAAGGGGAATCTTTCCCAGGGTCAAGTGATGGCCACCTTGAGTACTGGCTCTTAGAGCTGGTCCTGAAAGCTTAAATTTGTGGTTCATATCCAAGGAAATGGGGCACATTTTCCTTGAAGCTGGTCTGCCTCTCTTCAGCCATCTGGCATCTCTTAAGACATCTGGAACTCACTCAAAGTATATTACAGTCTGGGAGGCATATAAAATAGAATTCTGTTTCCCCAGAACGTGAGACAAATTGAGGCCCAAGGGACATTGGATACAAAAAAACAGCAGCAGCTGTGCCCCAACATTCATGCTTTTAGACACAGGACTTCAGAGTAGACCAGGAAAGGATATGAGTTGGAAGGGCTTTTCTTTTTGGACCAGTAATTCTTAATCTCCTTGGAGCGTAGGGGAAAGAATCACAGGCTTCCTCAAATTTCTCATGAAATCAATGCACTCTGTGTCCCTGTGTTGAGGGGGGTGGGGGTTGCCATCCTCACAGCCAAGTCTTCAGAGGGTTCACAGATCATCTGTAGCCTCTCAAATAAATGTATTCTTGAAGGATAATCTATGGGTCTTGCCACTCGAATGAAATTTTGCCCTTCTCATAGAACAGTCTAAAAACATATCAAACATCTACCATCCTCGTTCTGTGGACTCCCTCATCCTGTTCCTCTAGCACGTCTTGATGCAATGATGGCTTCTGGCAGGATTGGTGAAGCAATGTAGGTCCACATCCTGGGTTCTGAGCACTATGCGAAGGCACTAAGGAGAGGAGACTATTATGATTTCAGTTCCTCAGTTCTCCAGGAACCCAGGAGAAAGGTGACATTTTAACTACGTCACAACTCTGTATGACAAATAGTGATGGCAGTAACTTGAAACACAAAGAAGGAACACCAAACTAGCCTGCCTCAAAAACCCTCCAGAAGAGATGGTACAAAAACTAAATCTTAGAGGACAAGTGAATTTGACAAAGAATTGGGAGGAGGAGCAAACTAAGGGATGGGAAAGGCATTCTATGTAAAAGAATAATGTGAAATGCAACTGAAAGGAGAGACAGCGTGGCTAATTCAGGGAACTGTAAGTCGTTCAAATGGACAGGACACAGCAGGTATGTGGTGGCTGGGATTGGTGGGAGATGCTGCTCAAGGCGATGTTAGAAGAGAAAGTGGGAGCCAGTTTATGAAGGGTCTTTCTAGGAGGCTTCTTAACCTTATCCTGAAGGCCCAAAAGGATCATGAAAAGATATTAAACAGTGAATGAATGATACGATCAAATTTGAAATTCGACCAAAAGCACCTTAATGGAATATGAAGAATTAAAGGCAAAGAGAGCCCTTTAGAAGGCTGTTCCAACAATTCAAGCAAGAAATTATGAGGTTTTAAACCAAGGCAGAACAGGAGAGATAGAGCTAGTAAAGTAGGTCTTGGTGATTAACTGGGTATGGGCCCTGAATTAGGAAGAATCAAAAATTACTCCCAACATTTTGGCTTTCACAACTTGGTGAGTGGTGGTACCTTTCACCGTGATAGAAAACAGAAAAGGAGTAGCTTTGGAGGAATGGAGGACAGGATGGGGAGTTCAGTTTTAAACACATTGATCTGGGGTGAGAAATTAAATAATGATTTAAGGGTCTTCAATATGGAGTTGAAACCATGGGAATAGTTAGCGTTACCCAAGGACATATAGAAAGTGAGAAGGAAGGTTGAGGAGGACTTTCATTGTTAAGGAGTAGTTAGAAGACAAGCCAGCAAAGGAGACTAAAAACAATCAAACGAGACATGGGAATGGTCAGGAAAACCAAAAAAGAGATTTATAGAAGAATGGCATGATCAGCCATGTTTCATGCTATGAAGATACCATCTATAATTAGGACTGAAAAGTACTCACACAATTTCAAACCATGGAAACTACCAGAGACTTAGCAAATACAGTTTAAGTACAGTGATTGGGTAAAATGCAAATGGAGCCCTAAGTGGGAAGAGAGGAAGTTGAGAGAGCATCTGTGTACTACTCTTTCAAGGAGCATTTTGGGGAAATAAATATTTATTTCACATGGAATTTTCTAAATAATGTAGACATTTTATTTACATTTGATTAAAAAACATTTCCTTACTAAACAGAAGAAACTACACATAATGAAATCCTTTCTCATTGAATAAGGGTCATCATTATATATATTCATGCTTTAAAGAATTTTAGTAATAATCCTGAGTAACACTAGGTTGGCAGGATTTTCTGCTAGATGTTGGGTTTTTTGTTGTTGTTATTTATTTATTTGCTCCTTTATAACTGTCAGTTCTTAGCAGCTATCAATCAATCTGCTTCTAGGAACCCTGATGTACTATTTCTAATCTGCTGTTCATTTTAGCCTAGAGCAAAACTCAATGTTGCCAGAAGTAAATCAACTGTTTTTAGAATAACCTCTGATGTTTAAAAATACATCAATATGCTGTAATCATGAGGATAATTCCATTCTTATTTACGGACTAAAATGGCATAATGTCACTAATTTCTACCTCTCTAAAGTTACTTTTGCCCATCTCTGCCCATACACACTCTACTTTTTTCTGTCTTCATCTCATTCATTCGCTTCCTTGTTCATCTATGTATTCATCTGTTCAAAATTATTAATACTTTATTTTTCAGTATGGTGCTAGACAATGGTGATTGAAATATGAATGAAACACAACCACAGCCCTCAGTAAGCCAAGGTTTTGTAATAAAGTTCTAGTGAACAAATAATTACTGCCCAGTCTGGAAAAGGGTAGAAAACTATGGTAGGTGGGTAATGTCAAAATACATGCCGTTTCTTAAAAGCACCATACTCTTTCTCATCCATTAATTACACGTTTTTCTTCTGCCTGGAATTTTTCCTGACCTCTTATTCTTCTTATAAACTCTTACTAAGTTGTTTCTATGTTTCAAATTGATCTTTTTTCCCTCCTTGAAACATCCCTGACATTACTCCTCTATACCTAGTAAGTAACACGTACAAGTTTTAAACTTAGATTTGTTGCTATTTCCTTCCATAAAGACAAACCAAGATTAGTTTTTTTGTCACTATTTTAAAATCTAGGTTTTATTATTATTCAGCTATGGTCTGACCAACAGATCAGGAGATGACTGCCACTGAAGAGATCCTTTGTTACTCGCAGTTTCCAAGGGGAGGGAGCATGGCACATTCCCACAGGCCACACCAGAAGCAGCAGGGTTGGTCAGGAAGCAGAGGAGATAAGGGGAAAATGTGGTCAAGAGCCCTCATTGTGGAAGGGGCAAGGCAGGGTAAGCAGGTTTAGGATTAGCTAGTTGGATTTATTTCAGTGAGCTCAGGGACTCAGGGGCTGTCACCTAGTACTTGGCCCTGGGGGTGATAAGGGCATAGCAGCCTGAGTGTGAGAGCCCCAGGAAAGAGGTTGGTTTGCATTTGAAAGAAAAGCATACTTTCAAGCCAGTCCTTTACTAAATCTAGGAATTAGCTAGCTGGGGTGGGGTGGGGGGGGGGGGGACAATCACTCAAGATAAAAAACATGCTTAATACAGTCACTATACTGGACTTCCTCTCAAAGTAGTAATAGTAGCTACTATTTAATCCAAACACTAAATTAGACATCTCTTTGTCTTTGTCCTTTCCTTCCTCCCTCCCTTCCTTCTTTCCCTCCTTCCCCTCTTTCTCCTTGTTCTCTCTCTCCCTTCTCTCCTCTCCTCTAATCCCTCTATCCTCTGTCCTCTCCTTTCTCTCTCTCCCCTCCCTTCCTTCTCCTCATTCTCTCTCCTCCCTTCCTCCTTCTCTTCATTTAAACAAATATTAATCAAATGCCTAACTTGAAGCCAGACACTATTCTAATTGCTTATTTTCTCATGTAAACCTCACAGAAGTCTAGGAAGTAGAAAATACTAGTCTTACTTAGTAGATGAAACATTAGGCACAGAAAGGTCACACAGATCACAGAAAGCAGAGTTGGTGTCCAAAATGAGTCCTGTTTCATTCCAAAGTCCATGTTTAAACAGCAAGATAAACACACAACACATGTTATCATACCCCTAAAAGTCTGACATGTTTGAATCTCAGTGCCATCCACCCACCAACCTGAGAACTGAACTGATTTGTCAGCTAAATTAAGAAAATATTAAGTACTTGGGAAACAGCACTGACACCTTATTCAATCATCCAACAGGAATGTATTTGGCATCTGGTTTCTAGATTAAGTTCCATCATTTATTAACTCTGTAACATCAAGGAAGTGACTTAGTCTAAGTCTTGGTTTTGTCATATATTAAATGCAGATAGCAATATTGACCATGCTAATACCTCAAACTTGTTTTATAAATCAAAGGAGATACACAAAATTTTTTTTTTTGCAATTTACCTATATAATAATTGTATATAAGTTCTAGGCCTTAACCACCAATTCCATTCTTGACAAAAATTTAAGACCAACATTTCAAAGTCCAATGGCTTCTGAATAATGAGCAATTCCTCGGCACCAACCAAATACAAATTTGCTATTTTTTTTATTTTAATTTTTAAAAATTTCGTCCAGTGTATTTAACATAGAGTGTTCTATTAGTCCCAGGTGAACAATACAGTGATTGAACAATTCCAAATATCACCCAGTGCTCATTCAGTGGGATATTATTGTCGTGAGTGATATCCTGATGAAATAATTCACTCCTGGGTACTAGTTCTTTGTCAAAATCATATGGGTTCTAATTATGGGAAGGAAATTCAAATCTTAATTTCATTATAACAAAACTCCAAATTCTTTCTTATTCTGCAGGTCAGGGCTATATGCGGAAAACATGGATTATATCTGACTTTGAGTTTTCTGGAAACATTGCTAAGCCACCAGAATTTGGGTTATCATGGTGAAATAAAGTAAGTTGATTTTTTATTCACGTAGTCCTTTATTAGGATACTAAATACTGAAATCTGTCTTTAGAAGTTTTTTTGTGTGAAGCTATCAATTTCATCACTTATAGATAGTTAAGGAATGTTTACTTATATTAAGGACAGAGTCTTCTTGGTCATAGAGAGACACAGCAGGAAACTTCAAGTTCCAACCATCATAGACCATCAAGAAAAGATTTACCATTCCACCTTAAACAACTAAAAACAGGACAGAATCTATGAAACAATAGTTTTCAGACATTTGACACCAGCCAGCACAGAACAGCAATTCCTGAAGAAAGGAAAATAAATAAGGTAAGCTAAGCTTACTGAACAAGAAGAGGAAATCCAGAGCCCAGATTCTTCTTAAGTTAAAGAGATGGAGTTTGGAGTTCAAGAAGGCCAAGAAGGTTAGAAAGCACAGTACGGAGTAGTGGAGAAGAGAGATCTGAACACTTCTCTTTCTAAAGAGTTGCTCTTGAGTCTTCATGTGAGTACTGGCTAATATATCCATTTGAGGAAACTACCCAAAGCCAGATGGGGGGCGGGGGGGGGGGGGGCAAAAGAAAGACACAAAAATTTTTAGATCTTGCACAAAGGTGGGGAATAGTTTGTATTTCCACCAGTCAGTTTAAAATAAACTGTTATCAATATAAGTTGTTATATGTAAACTTCATGGTAGCCACAAAGCAAAACCTATAGTAGATACACAAAAGACAATGAGAAAAGAATCTAAGTATATCATTAAAGAAAGTCATTAAACCACAAATGAAAAGAACAAGAGAAAAAGAAAGGAACAGAGGAACTACAAAATAACCAGAAGGCAATGAACAAAATGTCAATAAGTACATACCTATCCATAATTACTTTAAATGTAAATGGAATAAATTCTTGAATCAAAAGATACAGAGTAACTGAATAGATAAAAAAGAAACAAGACATATCTATATATTGCCTGTAAGAGACTCAATTCAGATATAAAGACAATATACAGACTGAAAGCGAAGCGATGGAAATGACATTCCATGCAAATGGGAACCAAAGAAAGCTGGGGTCACTGTAATCACATCAGACAAAATAGACTTTAAAACAAAGATAAGATGGAGATGCCAGGATTCATAACCATCAGAGCAGTAGTAGAAATAGTAAAAGAAGTCCTCAGGCAGAAGGAAAATTATCATTTTGTATCTACACAAAAATATTAAAGCACTGGAAATAGTAAATGTGTGTATGAATAAAAAATACGTTTTTTATTAAAAAACTCTTTAAAAGATAATTTATTGTTTAAAGCAAAATAAGAACACTGCAGCATGGGATTCATAATATAAGTGCAACCTTTGACAATAGCATACAAATCTGGGAGAAGGAAATGAAAATGTTCTTGATAAGGTTCTTATACTACAAACTAAGTAGTATAATTTTGTTTGAAAGAAGAATGTAATGAGTTAAAATGCTAATTAAAAAAATAAAATGAAACATAAGACAATTTAAATAATAAAAAAGACAAAAAAGATGAAAGGGAAACAAGAAACAAATAATATAAATGGAAAATAAATATTGAGATGTTAGATTTAAACCCAACCATATTAATAATTACGTTAAGTGTTAATAATCCAAACACACCAATTAAAAGGTGATTTTCAGACTCCATTAAGAAAGCAAGACTCAACTAAATGATGTCTACAAGGAGCCCATTTAAAATATAAACATATAAGACATACCAAAAGTAAAAGGATGCAAATGATATACCATGCTAACTCTAATGAAATGAAAGCTGGATCAGTTATATTAATGTAAGACAAAGTGCATTCCAAAGCAAGGGATGCCGAAAAGTCAATTCATTAAGAGGACATAATGAACCTAAATGTTCATGTCCTTAATAATACAGTTTTAAGTTACATGAAACAAAAAAATAAAACTAAAGGAGAAATAAACAAATTCACAACTACCATTGGAGAATGTAACACCTCTCTGTCAGTAATTGACAGAACAAGCAGATAGAAATTCAGTAACAATATTAAAAATTTGGACTAAATTATCAAATAACTTGATATAAGTAGCAGTTACATAACACCAACCAAAGAAAACAGATTCTTTTTAAGCATACATGAAATATTTAAAAAACAAACCATAGGGGCGCCTGGGTGGCGCAGTCGGTTAAGCGTCCGACTTCAGCCAGGTCACGATCTCGCGGTCCGTGAGTTCGAGCCCCGCGTCGGGCTCTGGGCTGATGGCTCAGAGCCTGGAGCCTGTTTCCGATTCTGTGTCTCCCTCTCTCTCTGCCCCTCCCCCGTTCATGCTCTGTCTCTCTCTGTCCCAAAAATAAAAATAAAAACGTTGAAAAAAAAATTAAAAAAAAAAATAAAAAACAAACCATATTCTGAGCCACAAAACAAATGTCAGTAAGTTTAAAATGATGAAATCATATAAAATATGTTCTCTGACCATAATAGAATTAAACTGGAAATTAAAAGCAAACACACAAAAATCCTGGAAATCTCCAAACATTATGAAACTAACAACACACTTCTAAAAAACCTATGGTAAGAGGGAGAAGGGAAATTAGAACATATTTTGAACTGAATTAAAATGAAGCTGACATACCTGTAATTTTTAAGTGTTTCTCTTTTTCTAACATTTTATGTTGAATACATCAAAAATTAACTAGTAAATCAACTCTATGTTCAGAATATGCCCAGAATCTGGTTACTTCTCACCACCTCTATTGTTGCTTAACTACACCTCATTCAAGTTACCATTATCTTTCTCCTGGATTACAATAATAGCCTCCTAACTGAACGAGGCGTCTCCCTTCTCCCTAGTTTATCCTCAGTACAACAGCTACAGTGATCTCTTAAAACCTAACATAATTTATATCATTGCTCTGCTCATGAAACTGCAAGAGAATCTTATTTCACTCAGAGGAAAGAAAAAGAAAAAAACATCAAAGTCCTTATAAAGGGTTCTACATGATCGGCTCCCCCATTGCTTCTCTGATTCCATCTACAACTTCCTTTGCTCATTCTGTTCCAGTTACACTGTGCTCTTTTTCTCACCCACACCATGCACCCATCCACCTCAGCAACTATCCTCTGACTGTATCCTCTACTTAAAATGTTCTTTCTCAGATATCTCCATGCTAACCCTTTCACCTTTATTTTTTTGCTCAGATGTCACCTTGTCTGTGAGGCCTACACTAACCACCCTCGTTAAAGTTGTGGTCTCTCACTCCTCTTCCTCTTAACCTGCTTTCCTTCTGCTTTCTTCTCGACACTTATCAACTTCTAATGTATTCGGTGATTTGCTGATGTAAGATGTTTATTGTTGTTACCAGTCGATCTCTGATAGACTATAAGCTCTAGTTCCAGGGGGCAGGCAGAATCTTTGTTTTTACCCATTGATGTATGCTAAGTGTTTAGAGCGCTGCCTGGCATATATTAGAATTCAAGAAGCATTATGAAATTGAACTGAATTAAGGAAGGGATGGAATCTCAAAATAGTCTCAGGAATGCATGCAGATACACAAATTGTGACTAAGTCCCTCTCATGGTCAAATTGAAGAAGGCCATTCCTAACCACCCCATCAAAACCAGGTTCCTTGTTCTATACTTTCTCTTAGCACTCAGCTATTATTTTTCCTAAAACTTATCATTATTTATAATTATGTATTTATTTATATGATTTGTTACTTCAGTGTCTAGGTCGTAATCTCCATGCTGGCAAGAAACAGGACTGTTTCCCTCACATTATATTCCCAACATCTTCTAGGCCAGTACTTGGCACATGGAAAGCACGCAGTAAATATTTTATTACTTTATTTATTCATTTATTTAACGAACATTTATAGAGTTCCTACTGTTTACCAAGCACTACTCTAATCATTGGGAATATAGACATGAATTAAACAGTCTCCCCACTCTTGAAGCTTATATTCTTTTTTTTTTATTGAGAGAGAGTCGGGTGTTGGGGAGGATGTGAGTGGGGAGGGACAGAGAAAGAGGGAGGGAGAGAGAGAATCCCAAGCAAACTCCACCCTGCCAGCACCGAGCCCCACACTGGGCTCAAACTCACAAACATGAGATCATGACCTGAGCCAAGATCAAGAGTCAGATGCTTAACTGACTGAGCCACCCAGGTGCCCTGAAGCTTATATTCTAACGGGGAAGAGAAACAATAAGTAAGCTGGAATGTGTGATACATCACATGATGATAAGTGCAATACAGAGAAACAAAGAAGTGTAAAGGTTAATGGGAACATCAATTGATAAATAAACGATGGGAGGAGGTTGAGCCTAGCCAATGAATTTCCACTAGACCAACTTTGAACATGGGAGTTTCCCTTCTGTAAAATCTTGGGGGTAGTTGAGTAAGGGGCCGGGGGGGGGGGTGGGGGGGAGGAGGAGGTTAAGTAGCAAAAGCATTAAAGCGGGCTAAGAGCCGAATAGAAAACCAATAAGCTAAAATTGGGAGTCCTAAAAAGGCATCAGTATAAATGGAGAAAATGCAAGCATCAGAGCTCACATTATACCTGGTACATAGTGTACCTGATTAAAACATGGGGTCCAGAACAAAGATTACAGGAAACAGAGATATGAGAGTAAGAGTGAATGGGAAGCAAATGAGGTTAGGCTATATATCAATATTCTCAATTTCCCACGCTTATATGCATATCAGAGAAGCGCACCAGTTTCTTTATTCACCTTTGACCTTTGAATGTTCAAGGACATCAAACCATGAGAACCAGTGAAGAATTGCATTTATAAGTGATAAACCTGTTTCATCCTTAAACAGTCATTGGCTAAAGCTTCTTCTGTTGAATTAAATCCATTCCGTTAAGGGCTTTGTATGCAAACCTATATCCTTAAGAGATTAAAGATGCAATTTAGACACACATTTTAAGAGCTGAATGCACGAATCATTATTTTAGTACATATTGTCCATTAATCTGCTGTTCAATTGGGAACCCATTTGGAATGTGGCTGCTTGCT